AATGAAAAAGTTTAATTTTTTCTTTATGTCAACAATGTTTCCTGTATGTGGAAAAACACAAACTGTTTAGTTGTAGAACATTTGTTAATCTTAGAGCTACAGAAAATCTCTGAATGTTTAATTGTAGAATATCTGTTAATCTTAGAGCTACAGAAAATCTCTGAATACTTCTTAATTGTATTATATTCAGCCAAATAAAGAGGAAAGCTATTTCTTCGTATGAACCACCTCTTCATGAGATAGGAAAAGAATTAAGTATTTTACAAACCTGACATATTAAACCATGATTTGAATTATTTTTAATTCTAGGGATAAATAACTATGAAAATGAAAATATAAACTAAATATTAATTATGCATTCAAACAATTTACCTTAATCAACTACAGATACTCACACTTTAACCTGATACTGAAGCTACAGATACACTTTAACCTGATACTGAAGCTACTGATACTCACACTTTAACCCGATACTGAAGCTACTGATACTCACACTTTAACCCGATACTGAAGCTACAGATACTCACATTTTAACTCGATACTGAAGCTACAGATACTCACATTTTAACTCGATACTGAAGCTACAGATACTCACACTTTAACCTGATACTGAAGCTACTGATACTCACTAACACAATATAATCTGATACTGAAGCTACAGATACTCACTCACAGTATAATCTGATACTGAAGCTACAGATACTCACAATATAATCTGATACTGAAGCTACAGATACTCACAATTTAATCTGATACTGAAGCTACAGATACTCACAATATAATCTGATAATGAAACTACTGATACTCACTAATGCACTGTAACCTGATACTGAAGTTACAGATACTCACTCACACATACTATAACCTGATACTGAAGTTACAGATACTCACTCACACATACTATAACCCGATACTGAAGCTACAGATACTCACTCAAACACTGTTACCCAATACTGAAGCTACAGATCCTCACTCATACACTGTAACCCAATACTGAAGCTACAGATCACAATATAACCTGATACTGAAGCGACAGATACTCACTCAAACACTGGAACCCAACACTGAAGCTACAGATACTCACTCATACACTGTAACCCGATACTGAAGCTACAGATCACAATATAACCTGATACTAAACTAAAGATACTCACTAATGCACTGTAACCTGATACTGAAGTTACAGATACTCACTCACACATACTATAACCTGATACTGAAGTTACAGATACTCACTCACACACTGTAACCCAATACTGAAGCTACAGATCACAATATAACCTGATACTGAAGCTACAGATACTCACTCAAACACTGTAACCTGACACTGAAGTAACAGATACTCACTCACACACTGTAACCCAATACTGAAGTTACAGATACTCACTCACACATACTGTAACCTGATACTGAAGTTACAGATACTCACTCGCAAACTGTAACCCAATACTTAAACTACAGATACTCACTCGCAAACTGTAACCCAATACTTAAACTACAGATACTCACTCACAATATAATCAGATACTGAAGCTACAGATACTCACTAACACACTTTAACTTGATACCGAAGCTACTGATACTCACTCGCAAACTGTAACCCAATACTTAAACTACAGATACTCACTCACAATATAATCAGATACTGAAGCTACAGATACTCACTAACACACTTTAACTTGATACTGAAGCTACTGATACTCACTCACACTTTAACCTGATACTAAAGTTACAGATACTCACTAACACAATATAATCGGATACTGAAGCTACAGATATTCACTAACACAATATAATCTGATACTGAAGCTACAGATACTCACTCACTAATGCACTGTAACCCAATACTGAAACTACAGATACTCACTAATGCACTGTAACCTGATACTGAAGTAACAGATACTCACTCACACAAAGTGTACACTTGTACTGAAGTTACAGATATTCAATCATACATTATAACCTTTATATTTAAGTTATAGATATTCATTCATACATTATAATCCCCCATACTTAAATTACAGATACTCATTCAAACATTATAACCCCCATACTTAAGTTAGATATTCATTCATACATTACAACCCCCATACTTAAGTTACAGATACTCATTCATACATTATAACCCCCATACTTAAGTTACAGATATTCATTCATACATTATAACCCCCATACTTAAGTTACAGATACTCATTCATACATTATAACCCCTATACTTAAGTTACAGATATTCATTCATACATTATAATCCCAATACTTAAGTTAGATATTCATTCATACATTATAACCCCCATACTTAAGTTACAGATACTCATTCATACATTATAACCCCATACTTAAGTTACAGATACTCATTCATACATTACAACCCCCATACTCAAGTTACAGATATTCATTCACACATTATAATCTTTATATTTAAGTTACAGATACTCATTCATACATTATAACCCCCCATACTTAAGTTACAGATATTCATTCACACATTATAATCTTTATATTTAAGTTACAGATATTCATTCATACATTACAATCCCCATAATTAAGTTACAGATACTCATTCATACATTATAACCCCCATACTTAAGTTACAGATACTTCCACACAACATGCCAAATATAAGAATTATGATAGAAGTCAAACTGAAATACAAGAATCTAGTGTTGTAACAAGTTAAAGACACTTTCCACAATATTTGTAATTTGGAAAAGTAAAAGAGTGTGGACAGTAGAGACAGCCTCACAAATATAAAACATGAAGTAAAAATTTCTTACTCTTGTAGATGTTTATTAACACGCTTCTGGATGTTCATAATTTGATCTGGAGCCCACTGAGCTAGCTTTTCTTCACTCCCCAGTAAAAGATTAATTCCCATCCTCACTTTATTGATCTGAAGAATACTAAGATTTGTTAAAATTTCTTCAACCCTCATCCTCAACACAGTCATAACATAAACTACACATGGGCCAAACAAACATCCAGAATGAATTATCTCTCAATCTCTGGAAAAGAAAACATTTTAATAAAGAAAGTAGATCTTAAAATAAACAGGGACTTCAATTAAAGTGTTATTTAAAACTGCAGTTCTAAAGATAGATTTATCATAATCGAATTAGTGGTCTTTAATTAAAGTGTAAAGTGAACATATACAGTTTGAGGTATTTATACAAGGTTTGATGTCAATTTACATCTAAGGAGGTGTCAAAAAGAAAAATTGTGAAACAACAGATTGCAACTCATATAAAAGAAAATTACTTAATTAGATGAATAAAAACATAACTTCAAACTAATTGTTACTAACTGTGTGAGTAAAGACATTACTATAAGTGTTACTAACTGTGTGAGTAATAACATTACTATAAGTGTTACTAACTGTGTTAAGAGTGTTAGTACTATACAGTGATAGGTTACTAACTGTGTTAAGAGTGTTAGTACTATACAGTGATAGGTTACTAACTGTGTTAAGAGTGTTAGTACTATACAGTGATAGGTTACTAACTGTGTTAAGAGTGTTAGTACTATACAGTGATAGGTTACTAACTGTGTGAGTAAAGACATTACTATAAGTGTTACTAACTGTGTGAGTACAGACATTACTATAAGTGTTACTGACTGTGTGAGTAAAGACATTACTATAAGTGTTACTGACTGTGTGAGTAAAGACATTACTATAAGTGTTACTTACTGTGTGAGTAAAGACATTACTATAAGTGTTACTAACTGTATGAGTAAATACATTACTATAAGTGTTACTAACTGTGTCAAGTACATTACTACTATACAGTGATAGCTTACTGACTGTGTGAGTAAAGATATTACTATAAAGGTTAGTACTGGCAAGAATGTTACTAATATATATTAATAAGTCATTGACAGTCACTTGAAATACTGGAGAAAGTACTAAACATTTACTCTGACAATGCTTTTCCAAGAAGTCACTTTTTGCACTGCTAAATATTATATTTTTGCTGTAACAGCATTGAGTGAAAGTATTACATATTTACTATCACTTACAGTACTGTGTGAATATATTACATATTTCTGTTATAATATTAAAAGTTTAAAATTCAAGGTACTTGTGTAAATATAAGTAATTAAAACACTCAAATGATAAAAGTTAAAATATACACAGCACATTATATATTTACTGTCAATGTAGTTTGAGAATGTATATTTATTGTCACTTACGGCACTGATGTCTTCACAATCAAATGTTGTGTCAAAAACAAGCTCCATGTCATGATCTGGATAGATGGACTGGTTTGTTCTGGGATCATATCCAAGCCCACACAGAGCTCCAGTATAACATGAGCGTTCTATGTCAGTCCTACCAACATTTTATCTTTGTTAATATTATAATAATTTGTTCATACTCTACATTTTAAACCTAGAAAACAAATTGAATGTTACACTCAATAAATAGCCTTGGTTAACTTATCACTATGAAGTTAGGTATTTCACACAAGGCTAAGAATAATATAACAAATTGAGTTTCATACATTCAGAAATTAGAAAAACCTAATTTAACTGGATAATACAAAAAGCAGTTGATACTAACATTCGTTTTTAGCCTGTTAATAAAAAACAAAACTGGTGGATAGTCTACAGCCTAGAAAACTTTTATACTAAATAAGATTAAGATTGAGTAGCAACAATGTAACACAACTCATGTAGGTATAGTTTCACTCTAAAATACAACATATAAAGTGAACAATGAAGTACTGAATATGGTGCAAACAACAAGGCTATGATGGAAGACAACTGACATAGGTATAGTTTCACACTAACATATTGTCTGTGAAGTACATTATTCATTAACACACAATACCTTAGCTCTGCATATGGTGCAAACAACAAGGCTATGATGGAAGACAACTGACATAGGTATAGTTTCACACTAACATATTGTCTGTG